GCGCGCTCAGCCCAGTGCTGTCCTGAGCCTTGTCCCCTCCCCTCCCCTTGGCTGGGACCACGATTCTGGGGTGGCCCGGGCCCCTCCTTTCTCTGGCTGCCAGATCAGGCTTCACCCTAAGTCAGAGGGGCCAGGGCGGGGCCCCCAGAATCCTGCAAAGTATCAAGCTAACAGGCGAGTTGCAACTACAGCATGTAGCCCCGTCGCGCATAGGACTTCCACAGACACAACATTCCCTGCACAGTCAATGTGTCGCTGTCTGGGGTCATCAGGATCCTCTGCGCTCAGAGGCTCCCACTCTGCCCCGTGGGGTTACCTCGGCCCCACCGTCTTGATGGGAGCAGATCACCAGGCTGGCAGTTTTTCCACTGAGGAGTGGCTGGTGCGTTCGAACTTCTGATCTTTCAGTTAGCATCTGGTGGTTATGTTATTATATTAGATACATTATTATTATACGGTGGTGTTATTAGGTGTGATTGAGTCCCCCCTTTTAAAAAAATCATTTTATTGGGGGCTCATACAGCTCTTATCACAATCCACACATCCATCCATTGTGTCAAGCACATTTGTTTCCCTCATCATTCTCAAAACATTTTCTTTCTACTTGAGCCCTTGGTATCAGCTCCTCATTTCCCTCTCCATCCCCGCTACCCCCTCCCTCATGAGTCCTTGATAATTTATAAATTATTATTTTGTCATGTCTTACACCGTCCAACATCTCCCTTCACCCACTTTTCTGTTTTCTGTCCCCCAGGGAGGAGGTTATATGTAGGTCCTTGTGAGCGGTTCCCCTTTCTACCCCACCTTCCCTCCACCTTCCCAGTATCGCCACTCTCACCACTGGTCCTGAGGGGTTTATCTCTCCTGGATTCCCTGTGTTTCCAGCTCTACTCTGTACCGTGTACATGCTCTAGTCTAGCCAGATTTATAAGGTAGAATTGGGGGTGGGTCATGATAGTGGGGGGTGGGGCAGGAAGTATTAAAGAACTAGACGAAAGTTGTATGTTTCATCGGTGCTGTACTTCGAGTACTGAGGAAACACTGGCGGCACCTATGGAGGCCGTATTTCCGGATCAGACCATGCCAGTTGAGCATAGGAGGCAAGAACGGGAACCCTGGCCAAAGTTTTGCGGTGGCTCCAGTAGAGCTGCTGGTGACCTGTCTTGTTTCCAGGCTCTCTCCGAGGCTCCAGGGAAATCTGTTTATTTTAATTGGGAGTTAATACCTAGATCATCTATCATTCCATAGATCAAGCAGTATTACACAATTGCTACCACAAGCAGTTTATGAACATTCCATTCTTTCCTGGCTCTCTTGACATCAGCTCCCTATACCACCAGGGTACCCGACAACACAGAGAAATCCTTATTCTACTGGCTGCCCCTGTGGGTTCATCAATCCTGGGTTGCATATACAGAAAAACATAGAACAAATTCAAGAGGGTGGCCCCCAATGACATACACGTCTGAGATAAACCCTAATATGAACAAGCAAAAACAAAAAAAAAATACAGAAAAAGTTAAAAAACCAGGTCAGGTCCAGCATGTATCAGAGTGGGGAATCAATTGACAAGGTTTTAACCGTTCAAGTCAGGTTTATTGCTTCGATCTTCTAGATTTTTCTCTCCAATGCACTGTTTGGTAACCACTTTCCTCCCATCCCTCAATTACAGATAGAGGGCGATCACCGGAGGTTTATTTCCTGTGTCGTCCCCACAAATAAATCTTGGGCTCCCACTGGCAAGCATAGTTTGCTGCAAACTGGACTGTCACAGGTCAGGGTCTGATACTAATCCGTCCTTCGACTTCAGATGATACGATTTACAATCTTTTGGTGACCGATGGTGGTGTGCCTCTTCCACATGGACTTCGTTGGCATCTCACTTAGAAGGCTGCTTGTTTAGAGACAGCCTTTAAGACAAGCCGGGCACTGCCTAATTTCTTCACCACCGTTTGCTATAACTCCTGTATCCTCCATGTTCCCTTCCTGAGTTTGAGTGTCAAACAAGGTCATGATGTAAGAACTAATTGTTTGTAAGTTGGATCTGTTAGGATTACATCTTGATATGAAGGGGTTTTGTGCACATATATGCGTCTCACTGGATGCGTTTCTCTAGTCAGTCGGGCCTAACAGAGGTGACAGTAATGATTGTGCAACATAAAGACTATAATCGATGGCACTGAATGATAACGTGTAGACGTTGAATTGAGGAATGTCTTGTTGTGTATAGCTTTGCCAAAATTGAAAAAGTTACATGAATAACAATGCGTATGAAGGAAAAGAAAATCTTATAAGATTGATGGTGGCAGAGGTTGCACCACTCTGCCAGGCGTGGTTGAACTATTGTACTCCAAGTGGATTAAGTGCCAATAAAACTTTAAAAAGAAAGAAAGAAAGAAACACTGTGTCTCCAGGCATGAATATACTCACTGGAATGCAGGCCAAGAACACAACTTGGATAGTGTGTGTGTGTGTGTGTAGGACACCATTTATTTATTTATTTATTTATTTATTTATTTATTTCGTGCATGAGAGTGAGTGAGTGAGAGAGTGAATGAGTGAATGAGAGAGTAAGTGTGAGAGTGAATGAGAGAGT